TGGTAGAGTGTTTGGTTTTGACCAAAATAGCTTAGGGGCAGCGCCCAGGTCCCAAGTTCAAGCCCCATGACAGACAAAAAAAGAAAAGAAATTAAAAATGTGGCCAGGCGCCAGGGGCTCATGCCTGTAACCCCAGCTACTCAGGAGGTTGAGGTCTGAGGATTGAGGTTCAAAGCCAACCCAGGCAGGAAAGTCCTTGAGACTCATCTCCAATTAACAACCAGAAAACCAAAAGTGGTGCTGTGGCTCTAGTGGTAGAGCGCTAGCCTTGAGCAAAAGAGCTCAGGGACCATGCCCAAGCCCAGAGTTCAAACTCCACAAAAACAACAACAAAATAATTAGCTGGGTCTAGAAGCTGAGGCTAAACAATCACTGGACCAGTAAGGAATCCAATCAACTGGTTCAAGAATGCCCAGTCCTGCATTCCATCCTCCCTCTCTCCCTCCCTCCTAGATTCTAAATGAGATACAGTGTCCCAGATAAGTAATGGAGTTGCAAGATACAAAATGCCTGGCTTGTTTTATGTATCTGTGACCACAAAAAAAAAAAAAAAAGCCACAAAGAAAAGACACCATGTTCCCACACCCTTTGATTGTAAAGCCAACTCAAGACCCATTGTCCTCAGGCATGGATAAAATGACCAAAATGGGATAGTTGGCAAGTTGGGTCACATGTCTAGGCTGTTGGGGACCGCTGATCTCCTAAGCTAGGCTATAAGCACCAGGGATACCTGAGTGGCAAGGGTCACTCGGGCGAACGGAGAGGCATGCACAGGAGGACAGTGCCCGGCCCCTGTTCCTGACCCTTCTCCTAAACCAGGATAAGAAAGCAGCTAGTTTACTCACCATGTCAGCTTAAGACCTTATGTTCAGCCTGGGGTTACTTTTCTACCAAAATGATGTCTGCTTTGTGTGAGAAAACTGTTTCACTTATTGCTAGTTATGTACAAAGTTCACTGCCTTTCCTACTAGGTCATACTGATTAATAACTGCCTAGCCGGGCCCTGGTGGCTCACGCCTGTAATCCTAGCTACTCACGAGGCTGAGATCTGAAGATTGTGGTTCAAAGCCAGCCTAGGCAGGAAAGTCCATGAGACTCTTACCACCAATTAACCACCAGAACAATCAGAAGTGTTGCTATGGCTCAAAGTGATAGAGTGATATAGCCTTGAGCAAAAGAGCTCAGGGATAGTGCCCAGGCCCGGAGTTTAAGCCCCAGGACCACCGCCACCACCAACAACAAAAAACAACTGTCTGGGAGATGAACCAGGGGCTTTGTCCTTCAAGGAAGAGTATCCCCTGGCTCCCTGTGTTGATGCTGAGATGGCCTTTGTGTTTTTCTTTCTTTCTCACAGGGCACCGTCCCTTTCAAGCTTCCTGATCACTCTGCAGTGCTGAATGCAGCACCAGGTGCCCAATTTCAAACCAGAAACCCCTCAGCCACTAAGGGACAGACATACCCTGGGATGAAGGCTGTCCACTGAGCTTCCGTCCCCTACTCCCGAGGGCCTGCACAAGGTGCTGCACGATTCCCTCCTTCTTTTCTTCCTGTTTTGTGACCTGTGTTAACTCTGCTCACTTCTGGGTTTTTTGTTTTTTGTTTTCTTGTCAGTCGTGGGGCTTGGACTCTGGGCCTGAGCGCTGTCCCTGAGCTCTTCAGCTCAAGGCTAGTGCTCTACCACTTGAGCCACAGCGCCACTTCTGGCTTTTTCTATTTATGTGGTGCTGAGGAATCAAACCCAGGGCCTCATGCATGCAAGGCAAGCACTCTTACCACTGAGCCAACTTCCCAGCCCTCTGCTCACTTCTGAATTCATTGCATCATTAGTCCAAGATCCTAGCATCTTAGATGATTAGAAAGTTGATAGAAAGTTCCTCCCTTCTAGGGGCTGGCAAGGTGGCTTAATGGTAGAGTACTTGCCTAGCATACATGAAACCCTGGGTTTGATTCCTCAGTACCACATAGACAGAAAAAGCCAGGGCTGGGAAGGTGGCTCAGTGGTAGAGTGCTTGCCTTGCATGCATGAGGCCCTGGGTTCGATTCCTCAGTACCACATAAGCAGAAAAAAGCCAGAAGTGGTGCTGTGGCTCAAGTGATAGAGCACTAGCCTTGAGCTGAAGAGCTGAGGGACAGCGCCCAGGCCCAGAGTTCAGGCCCCACAACCGACAAAGAAAAAAGAAAACAGAAAAGAAAAAGCCAGAAGTGGTGCTGTGGCTCAAGTGGTAGAGCACCAGCCTGGATCAAAAAAAAAAAAAGCTAAGGGACAGCACCTAGGCCCTGAGTTAGAGATGGCGGGAAGATGAAGGAAAGTTTATTTCTTCTATGGGGAAATCTCATTTCTGATAAGGTCCTGGTGACAACTCTTGTGGCCTCCCAAATGTCACTGTGTCCCTGAGCTGTTAGTGGTCCCCTCCCCCTCTGCTTCCTCAGGTTGTGACTCATTCAGGACCCCCAGGTTCCCCAGGCTGCTGTGAAGTCCTTCAGGCTGCCGCTACTCAGGATTACTGCAGGACTTTCTGTTGGGCCCTTCCTCATTCTTCTCTTATCTGGGCTGCTTGGGGACAGGCTGAGGCTCAGTTACACCCCTGCAAGCGAGTGAGGAGGCCCCGAGCTGCGCCAGTCAGACTTGAAAGCCATGGGAATGAAAGCAAACACCCAGATAAGCAGAGGGGAAGGCCGTGGGCACCTTGGGGACTGCGGGGCCGGGTCACAAACGGCCTGTGTGCGCACCCGAGCTTCTGTTGGGCCAGATAGAGCCTTCAGGTGTCTCCTTTGAAATTCTAGCACCATCCACGTGGAAAGATGGGAGGTCTGACAAAGGCGAGCTGTCACTATCTGTAGTGTGCAAACCAGGCCAGGCCCTGGCCGGCAGGGGAGAATCATGTCTCCAGAAACCACAGGTCTGCTGGGAGCCCAGCCTGGCCCAGAGGCAGGAGAAAGCAGCCTGAACAAGGGACTTCGAGTCAAGAGAATGAGCACAAACACACGTACATACACAAGGATGCGCACATGTGCACAGATATCTCACACTTACATGTACAATCAAACACAGGTGCACACATGCAACACACGATTATGCATGGCTATTCACACAGGTGTATGTGTCTATACACACACATCAACTCACACACATGTATTCATACACATGTATTCATACACACATTCAAAGACACATTTCAATGCATATCACACACATGTATCTACACAACTATACACACTAGCATGCACACACATACACATGCATAGCTATTCATACAATATATACAATACCAGCATGCACATGTGTGCCCATGTGCTCACATGAATTTACATACACACATAGACATGCACACATGTCATGCATGTGTACACATGTGCATTCAGACACAAGGAACTCACACACATGAAGGGAATGCCACAGAATGAAAACTAGGAGAGGCTGGGGGGTCCTTCTTTTTAGGCAATATTGTCTTTCCGCCTGGTTTCCTGGAATCCATCGGAACACAGGCAATGTCCTTTTCTGCCTTTTCCATAGGACCAAGATGAGGTGAAGTGCTCCCCCTGCTCCTCCCTCCCCGCCCCCCCCCCCCCCAGGTCACAGGGCTTGAACTCTGGGTCTGCTTGCCGTCGCTCAGCTCTTCAGCTCAAGGCTAGTGCTCTACCACTTGAGCCACAGCACCACTTCCGGTTTTCTGGTGGTTTATTGGAGATAAGGTGTCACAGAAGCCGGGGGCTGGTGACTCATGCCTGTAATCCTAGCTACTCAGGAGGCTGAGATCTGAGGATTGCGGTTCAAAGCCAGCCTGTGCAGGAAAGACTGTGAGACTATCTCCAATAAACCACAAAAAGTGGCGCTGTAGCTCAAGTGGTAGAGTGATCACCTTGAGCTGAAGAGCTGAGGGACAGTGCCCAGGCCCAGAGTTCAAGCCCCATGACCAACAACAACAAAAAGAGTATCACAGACTTTCCTGCTGGGCTGGCTTTGAACTGAGATCCTCAGATCTCAGCCTCCTGAGTAGCTAGGATGACAGGCGTGAGCCACTGGTGCTCTTTTGAGACAAGGTCTTCCTGTGTTGCGCAGGCCGTCTTTAAAGTCCTGGTTTCAAGGGATTCTTTGGCTTGTTCCGCCTCCTATTTCAGCCTCTGGAGTGGCTGGAATTACAAGCACTGCGAAGTCCTCTTCTCAGCTATGACCTTGGCCTTCTGTCTCCCTGTCCTTGCTCAGCCTACATAACTAAGTTTAGTAGAAATCTGCTAAATTTGCGAGGAATCCCTTTTCCCTGGGTTTCTTGGCTATAAACCCTCCCATGGTCTTGTTTGGAATTGAGCCCTAGCTCTGTCCCTTCAACTCTATTCTGGAATAGTTCCTTATTGAGTAAACAAATGTCAGTTTATAGCCAACTCTGACAGGCCTCCAATTCACAATCCTGCCTCCGTCTCCCCTGCTCCCACCACAGGTGTGAGCCACCAAGGTGAGCCTTCCTTTCTTTCTGCTGGTTACTTGGAGTCTCTGCGGCGGCTTCTGAAATCACGATCCCCACCTCTCGGGCTCCTGTGTAGCTAGGAGTACAGGCGTGAGCCACGGCCGCCCGACTTAATTATGCTCTTGGACGACATGGATTAGCTCATCTACGCTCACTAGCACCCGTGAGGCAGGGCTGTCACTAACGTAAGTCCACCGGGAAGAGAGGACGACCGGGACAGACCCCAGCTGTTGCCCATGGGGCTGCGGGTGATCCCACGGCCGTCCCACCGGCTCACCGGAGAGAGTAACCAGGTAGGGAGGGCATCGCTTGCGTCCAGGGCGACGCTCGCAAATAAGGGCCTGGGCGGGGCGGGGCCATCTGGGGGCGGGGCCATCTAGGGGCGGGGCCGGGACGGGAATTCAGGGGCGGGGAAAGGAGCTTCCTAGAAGGCGCGAGGTGCAGGACGCCGTCTCCTAGCAACTGGTGGCGGCGGTCACGTGGCCGCGCGCGCGGCGCCTCACATGGTCCGGGGCCGAGCCGGGATTGGAGGAGACGTCACGGGAGGGGCGGGGCCTGTCAAGTTTGTTCCCCGAGTTCGGAGCCCAGGATCCCCCGCGGCCGTGGCGCAGGTTCCCTCCGCCGGGGTTGGGATGGAGCTGCCGGCCGTGAACCTGAAGGTGGCCGCGGCGGGCGGGCGGGCGGGCGGGCCGGGCGGGGCTCTTGCGCCGGAGGGGGCGGAGCACTCGCTTTTGGGGGGGCGGGCGGGGAGCAGGGCGAAGGACCCCCGGTGGGAAGCAGGTGCGCGCGGGCCCGTGGCCGGGCCGGGCCGGGAGGGAGCCCCGGGGCGGGGGGGGGGGGGTCCGGGCGGGCGCAGCAGCGGGGCGGCCCGTGCAGGGCACGCCCTCCGTCCGGACGCGCGGGTTCGCGTCCTGCGCGCCCAGAGTCTCCCGGGCGCAGGGCGGGGCGCGCCGGCGGCGGCGGGGTCCCCGTGCGGAGCGCGCCGGGCCTCTGCCGGGGTCCCCGCGGCCCCCGGTACGTGCCAGCGCCCACGGAGGAAGTCGGATGTCCGCAGACCCTTGGTTCTCCAGTTTCCCAACGCGCCGCCCGGGTGTCGCAACCGGGGCGCGCGAGCTGCACAAGTTGCTTCAAAGTGCAGAAAACCCCGGGCGCCCTCGCTTCCGGAGCTCGGTCGGCCGGGCTGTTCTCCTTTTGCTCCCCCGCCTCCGCCTCGCCCCGTGGGCAGCCGGAGGCCTCTGGGCCGGGAGCCCTGGCCGAAACCGGCCATCTTGGGCCGCGGTGCGGTTGTGGGAAGATGGTGCGCCCGGGGGTGCCGCGCACGGCGCCCCGCATCCGGCTTGGTCTGTCTCACGCCCCGGCCAGCCACAGAGGGAAGCAGATTGTAGTGAAGAGGATGGACCTGCGGGAAGCATTTAGCCAGCATTGGCCCGTGGGGCGGCAGAGGCTTGCAGCGATCAGGGCTCCCTCCCTGTCCCGGCAACGCGAGCATGCTACATCGAGTGCCTTTCCGCCTCCGGAAACGTGCACAAAGTAGTTGGTAAGACAGGCCCAGGTGAGACGCAGAAGGAAGAGGGCACGGGGGAGACCCGGGGGACTCGAGTGTCTGTTAACCACAGCTGCCATCTATGCAAATGGACACTCATTTTTTTTTCCCCTGGACAACCAACTTGGTATTATGTATTTATTGTGACAGTCCTGGGACTTGAGCCTGGGGCCTCAGGTTCTTGCTTGGCTTATTTTTTTGCCCAAGGCTGGCACTCTAACCATTTGAGTCACACCTCCACTTCTGGCATTTTGCTAGTTAATTAGAGATAAGAGTCTGATAAGACTTTCCCTCCCAGGCTGGCTTTGAATCACAACCCTCTGATCTCAGCCTCCGGAGTAGTAGGATGACCGGCATGAGCCACCAGCCCTTAAGTCAACTTTAGATCAATAAGTTGCCAAGGTCCTTGAGGGACAAGCTGTAGAGTCAGGATGACATTTCCCCGTACCAGGATAGTGAAGAGTGACCTCACCTTGAGGGTTTATGTACGTTTTGTGTTTTGTTTGTTGGTCATGAGGCTTGAACTCAGAGCCTGGGTGCTGACCCTGAGCTCTTTTGCTCAGGGCTAGTACGCTACCACTTTGAGCTACAGCACCACTTCAGGTGGCTAATTGGAGATAAGAGTTCTCATGGGGACTTTCCTGCCCAGCTAGCTTCGAACTGCAGTCCTCAGCTCTCAGCCTCCTGAGTAGTTAGGATGACAGGTGTGACACCGGCCTTTATGTGCATTTTTATAGACATGATGTTATATAAGCATCCAGTGCCTAGAATGAAAAAGCAGAGGACTGGGAAGGTGTCTCAGTGGTAGAGTGCTTGCCTTGTATGCATGAGGTCCTAGGTTCTATTCCTTAGCACCACATAAACAGAAAAAGCCAGAAGTGGTGCTGTGGCTTAAGTGGTAGAGCACTAGCCTGGAGCTGAAGAGCTGAGGGACAGCATCCAGGCCCAGAGTTCAAGCCCCACGACCAATAAAAAAAGAAAAAGCTAATCCTTCCATTGACCTGGATCACAGGGTACCGTCTTCAGTCTCCACTAGTCAGACAAGTACACCTCAGAGGCCTGCAAGGCCAGAGCCCAGGAAACCCACAGGATGAGTGAATTGGGATTCATATCAGCAGGATTTTAATGGGGCGGGGGTGGTGTGTGTGTGTGTGTGTGTGTGTGTGTGTGTGTGTGTGTCTCAGTCGGTGTCAGGATCATACTCATTTACTTATGATCTGCAGTGCAGGGTGAACACGGTATTCTGTAGTGAACTGTTGTCAAACCTGGAGACTGTGAGGCCAGCTTTTAACACGGTGCTCTGGGGCACTGAAGTGAGGTGGTACTCAGGAGCAGGGGAGACCCCCCTGGGGCCCCTCCCCATGCCCTCTATCCCCTCAGTATTGCCTGAGTGCCTGCTTTGTCCTGAGCCCATGGGAACTACTGTTGCAGGCCTTTTGCACAAAGACCCGTCCCTGACTCTTCCACCCATGCTTGTCTTGAAGCAGGCCCTGAGCTGGAAGAATGGTATCATGACTAGGACAGAAAGGGCTAGTCTTGGGGTTATTACGGTCCTGTGAGTGGACGCAGGGCATGGGTGGGGCAGAATCTGAGAAGCCAGCCTCCTGTTGGGTCTGAGGCCTGGCCCCCTGGCCGGCTTTGTGCTGAGGGCTTCCTGGCTTCTCTGCTGTCCCTCAGAGAGCAGATTGCAGCAATGAGAGGTCAGGTGACTTACCAGAGGTCACACAGCCTGTAAGTTTTGGAGCCAGGTTAGGTTCTATCCTCCAATCTCAGCCTCCTGAGTAGCTAGGGTGACAGGCGTGAGCCACCCGTGCTACACTAGGGACAGCTTTTTGTTGTTCAAAGTGAGTCACTGGTCTCTCCGGTAGACACCAAAAAGGGTCAGGACAAGATGGCTCTGCTCCCTCTGGAGCTTTCTTGGACATTGGGGCTCTCTAGGCGAACAGAGCAGGAGAGTCTCGCTCGAGCGTGCGTTCTGGGGAGCTTAAGAGGAGTGACGGAACGGGCACTCAGGTTTCTTAAATATTTTCAACGCGGCAGTGTCAGGTGTCACAAGGCGTCACACGTCTTGTGCGGATGGAGCTGCAGAATTTCCGGGGTGATTGTTTCTCCTTGCAGCGGGAGGCAGAGTCTCCCACAGTTAATTCAGAGACCTGCCCAGGGTGGGGTGCTCAGTTGCCTGCTGTACCTCAACCTTGTTCCACCCATCCTTCTCCCCCACCCCTTAAAAAGCCAGGACCTGCAGGCTGGGGGTAGAGCTCAATGCTAGAGCACATGCCTAGTGTGTGTGAGGCCCTGGGTGTCATGTCCAGCACCCAAAACAATAAGTAAATAAATAGCAGCCAGGACTCTCAGGGTCCACTATTCTAGAATCTACTGTGTGCAGCTGAAGAGTGGGAGGTGAGCATTTGGAACTGGAAGTTGGTAAAGAAGCCAAAAGTGGGAAGGGTCTGGATGTTCACGCCTGTAATCCTACCTACTCAGGAGGCTGAGACTCCATCTCCAGTATAACCAGCAAAAAGCAGGGCTTGACCCACGGCTCCCCCAGCTCCAGGGTCCCCAGAAGTCTCCACCATCTGAGCACGGCTCCATCTCCATACTCAAGTGCTCCCTGGAGCCTTGCTCTGCACACTGGTGGGGCACCAGGGTCGGCGCCTCTCCAGCCCCGGCCCCTTGCTGTGGCCAGCGTTTCTTCTTTCTTTCTCCCTTCCTTCCTTTCTTTCTTTTTTTCTTTCTTTCTGTCTGTCTGTCTGTCTGTCTGTCGTGGGGCTTGAACTCTGGGCCTGGGTGCTGTCCCTCAGCTCTTAAGATCAAGGCTAGCACTCTTCCACAGTGCCATTTCCAGCTTTTTCTGCTTATGTGGTGCTGAGGAATCGAACCCAGGGCCTCATGCATGCAAGGCAAGCACTCTACCACTGACCCACTTTCCCAGCCCTGCCATTTTTTTATTACATAAATTTCACAGTATTGTGGGATAGCGATACTTCGTTAAAGTCACAAACACATTCTAACTTTCATCGGGCAAATTGTCATTATCGTGGTCTATAAAGTTTGAGTTTTATGAGCTCTGACAATAGTTATTTCTTCCACATCGGGTGATATGTACATTTCTTTCCTTTTGCTTAGTGTCAGCTGTTCCCTCTTGGAAGGTTTGGAAGGTTTTTTTTTTTTTTTTTTTTTTTTTGGTCCAGTCGTGGGGCCTGAACTCTGGGCCTGGGTGCTGTCCCTCAGCTCTTCAGCTCAAGGCTAGCGCTCTACCACTTGAGCCACAGCGCCACTTCTGGTATTTTTCTTTTTGCTTATGTGGTGCTGAGGACTCAAACCCAGGGCCTCATGCATGCAAAGCAAGCGCTCTACCACTGAGCCACCTTCCCAGCCCTGTTCCCTCTTTCCCACTTATTCCCTCCCTCCCATCTCTGCCCTTTAGTTGCTTAGTTCGTTTTCATCAATGTCCAGTGCAGCTGATGGGTCCTGCTGTTGTATGTTTTCCTGTTTCCTTCTGGTTCTATGCCCTCCTAGTTTCCCTCCGATGTGCACATATAGACCATATATGTGATCAGCAGCATGGGGTCATTTAGTAATGATTTGACCAGATGAGTGGAGGTCCTTTGTTTCTTGAGTCTTGTTAACTTTGTTGTATCACCTTACATTTTGGATTTAACATCCACTTATCAGGGAGACCATGTGCCGTTTATCTCTTTGCTCTTGGCTTACCTCACTCAACATGATTTCTTCTAGTTCCATTCATTTCCCTGAGAATGCCATTATTTTGTCCTTTCTAATGGCTGTATAATATTCCATTGTATATAGGTACCACAATTTTTGGATCCATTCATCTGTGGTGGGGCATCTGGGTTGTTTCCATATCCTGGCTATTGTGAACAGTGCTGCAATAAACATGGAGGTGCACGTGTCCTTGTATCCTGGTTCCTATTGTTCAGGGTAGATGTCTAGGAGTGGTATGGCTGGGTCATAGGGAAGGTCAATATTTAGCTTTCTGTGGACGCTCCAGACTGCTTTCCAAAGTGGTTGTATAAGTGTACATTCCCACCAGCAGTGCAATAGTGTTCCTCTTTCTCTGCATCCCCTCCAGCATTTGTCGTTGGCTGACTTTAGGATGTGGGCCATTCTGACTGGGGTAAGGTGGTGTCTCAGGATTGTTTTTATTTGCATTTCCTTTACAACCAGGGATGGTAAACATTTCCTCCTGTGTTTCTTTGACATTTTTATCTCTTCTTCTGAGAAGTCTCTCTAGTTCCCTTGCCCATTTAGTAATTGGTTTGTTAGGTTTGGGAGGGATTAGTTTCTTGAGTTCCCTATATATACTGGCTATTAACCCCTTGTCTGATATATTGCTGATAAATACTTTTTCACAATTAGTTGGCTTTCTTTCTAGTTTGGTTGCTATGTCTTTAGCTGTGCAGAAATTTTTATTTTAAGGTAGTCCCATTTGTCGAGTCTCTCGCCGATTTGTTGTGACCCTGTGACTCTGTTCAGAAGTTCCTGCCTGTGCCTATAAGTTCAAGTGTCTCCTACTCTGTTGTGCAGTAGTTTTAGAGATTCAGGTTTGGTGTTAAGGTCTTTAATGCATTTTGAGTTGATATTAGTGCATGGTGACAGGCTGGGGTCCACTTTTAGTTTTCTGCATGTGGCCGAGTGGCTAGTGTTTCCTTGAGACTGGCGTGAAGCCCTGGTAGGCTTTGTTCCTGGCCGTCATGTCACATTGTTCACGTCTCGCACTCTTCTGTACCACAGGTGATTCTCCTCGTTCACTGGCTGCTGACCACCTGGTGAGTGACTGGGGGGAGGGGGGTGTTCTGTCACCTGTGTCCTTGGGTCTTTCCCCTTCTTCCCCTTCTCTCCCTTTCCTTTCTCTCCTTTTCTACTCAGCACCACATAAGCAGAAAAAGCTGGAAATGGCTCTGTGGCTCAAGTGGTAGGGTGTTTGCCTTGTGCTGAAGAGCTGAGGGACAGCGCCCAGGTCCAGAGTTCAGACCCCACAACTGACAAAAAAAAAAAAACGAATACAAGGCCCTGAGTGTAAGCTCCAGTCAAGGACACTAGATGGATGGATGATAGATTAATGTGGTTTACGGCCTGAGGCCATGGAGTGGGAAGGAGACCTTTGGGCCGCTGTAGGGCCTTCTGTCTGATGGTGTGGCATCTTCCTGCAGGGGCTGCATCGTGTTCTCTGGCCCTTATGCCTGGGCCAACTTCACCATCCTGGCCCTGGGCGTGTGGGCCGTGGCTCAGCGGGATTCCATCGACGCAATTAGCATGGTGAGTGAGGCGCTGGCTCTGTGGCCGGGCAGCAGGGGGCGCTGTGCCCCCATCTGCCCCACCCCCCTCACCTGGCTTCCTCATTGTCTGCTTTCTAAAGCCTGGCACATACATGAGCCTGTGCAACTTCCCAAGCCGGGCCTGCTGCACGGCTTGCCTGGCTCACTTGGCTCACTTCTGAACCCATCCCTGCCTTCCCTGGGACAGGCGATGGGTGAGGACCCAACAGTGCCCCCAAGATTGCCCATTCCCCAGGGCAGTCTGGTCCACCTCAGGGACTATGTCTGGAGGGATGTGGCTGTGGGAGAAGACACCAAGGCTCCTCTCTCACCTCTGCCCAGGCACACCCAGGCCCCAGCCTCAGGACCCTGAGACCGGGTACAGCAGGCTGGCTGGATCCGAGGGGCCTTTCCTTCTTGGGCCCTGTGTTGACCTTGGGGGACGTGGGGGGTGGGGCTCTGGGGGAACGCAGGTCTTGCCCGTCTGTCACCAGTGAATGTCAGAGGCCTCAGGAAGGGAAGAACCCCGGGTGGGTTGGGGTGTCACTGCCCATGAGCCGCTGCTGGTGTTTCTTGCAGTTTCTGGGGGGGTTGCTGGCTACCATCTTCCTGGACATCGTCCACATCAGCATCTTCTACCCGCGGGCCGGCCTGTCGGACACCGGCCGCTTCGGCGCCGGCATGGCCATCCTCAGCCTGCTGCTCAAGCCCTTCTCCTGCTGCCTGCTCTACCACATGCACCGCGAGCGCGGGGGCGTGCTCCCCTTCCACACCGGTGAGTCCGGGCCCAGCGTGCCCCTGCCGGCTGTGGTGGCACCCTGTGGCCAGACCCTCCCGCATCCTAGAGCACAGACGTGGACGGGGTGGGGTCCCCCAGCCCAAGCCCCGCAGGCGACTATGGGAGCCTCTCCTCCCACCTGCCCCCAGATCCTGCTCTCCTGCTGTGCAGGGCAGGAAGGAGGGGGGAGGAGGAAGGGAGGCTCTCACCTGCACAGAGAGCTTGGGCTATAAAGCCAACTCAGATACAGGCGACCCCTCTGGCTGCCTGCAGCCCCCTGGCACCGTTCCCATTTGTCCTGATGGAGGCCTGTGCCCTCCTAGCTTTCTGTGGCAGCCCGGAACCCACCAGGACAAGGACAGGAGTGGCCCATGGCCACCTACCCTGGCTGACCTCAGCGCCCTCCTGACCTGCCCTGGGATGAGGAGAACCAGGGACAGGCTGACCATGACACAAATAGGAAACTGAGGCCCACAGCCCCTGAGACTGGTTCAGATGTGCAGAGGGGATGGAAGGGGGGTATGGGAGTTCTCAGAGCCTTTCGCTCTGCCTTGCACTCCAAGCTTTACTCCCTGGGAGCAGTAACTCTGCCGGGCTGTGGGGCTCCTGGCTACAGTCATGCAGAGTCCTTGTTCTGGGAGGGGAGCACAAGAGAAGTCTGGCCCTGGGCTGTATGTCTGGGTATCTGGAGACCCAGGTGGGCCTCAGGTGGGGGTGGGCCTAGGGTAGCGGCTGGCCTCAGGTAGGGGTGGGTCTCAGGTGTGGTGGGCCTTGGGCAGTCTTCAGCAGTCTTCATCCTCCATTTCCCTCCCTCCCTCCCTGCCCTCCAGATGACCTTGGGCCTTCTCTGGAGCGCAGTGCCTACCAGACAATCGACTCCACAGAAGTTCCAGCAGACCCCTTTGCAGGCCCAGATGGCAGGGGCCAGGCCACCCCCCGAGGGTACTGAAGCCTCCCTGGGGCCCGCCTGACTCCGGCTGCATCACCTTTGGATGCTCCTGACCTCCTATTCTTGCACCTGCGGTGGACTGTCCTCCATTCCCTCTCCAACCGCCTGAATCATGTGTTACGAGGGTCAGAGCCTCCCACCCTCTTCCCTTCACGGTACCCTACTGTCACCAGGCTGGAACTATAGCCTCTTTCTTCATCTCCCACCCCACAGCTGCGCTGTGTGGACCCTGACCAAGTTGTGCCTGAGTGAGTTGGAACAGTGGGGACCCCATCCCCACACCACCCCACCGCAAACCCCCCAGGCTGTGGACCCCCTCTGCAGGAGCTCACTAAGCCTCAAGATCCACAGGGACCTTGTCCCAGTGCCTCTCACTGCCTGGTCGCGGGGTGCCTGGGAATCTAGGCCCAGAGGGAGGAAGTGTCTGCAGTTCCCAAGACCCACCACAGCCCACAGCTGCCCCTCTCGGAGCCCTGGCATTAAACTCAGGTGATTCTGTGGCTGAGCCCTGTCTCCTCTCCCACCGGGGCCCGCCCGGCCATCCCTGGCATGATTTCTTTGAACACCAAGTGGAGCCTGGACAGTCACCTGCCCTGCTGTCTCCAGAGAAAGTGGGGGACCTCACTGAGTGTGCTGGGGGACAGCATGGCATGGGCTTCATGACTCCAGCTCAGGTGACCTGCGCGTTGCTCTGAATCCTGCTCTGCCACTTGGCTGTGTGCCTTCACAGGCTTCTAGCAAGGCCGGTGTCGGCTCAGGTGAAATTCAGTGCTGAGTGTCAGGGCCCTCAGCGGCGCACTTCCTGGTGTCTGCCGTGAGCTGGAGTGCCGGGTCCTGGGATGGCCTCTCTAGCAGGCCACAGAGCTCCTGGGACCCCAGGGTCCAAGTCCTTCCTTGGACTGGGCTGGCTGTTCACAGCTGCCTTTCTGTACTCTCACCCCAGAAGTCAGAAGTCCAGCCTCTCTTCTCAATCCTCTGTCAGTTAAAGAGGCTGAGTGGCTGCCAGGTGCCAGACAAGGGCCTGCGGCCCTGTGTGTGTGTGTGTGTGTGTGTGAGAGAGAGAGAGAGAGAGAGAGAGAGATCTGAAGCCTACTCACAAGCTACACAGGCCACTCTGGGTGGGTGAGGGAGGCCAAGTGGTCAAAGTTGAGAAAAACTGAGAACGTCCTGGCTGTCAGGAGGTTACTTAGCCCCACCCATTTGTGACATGAACCTTAGAGTAACTACAATATTAAGCAGACCTGTGTATGTGAACACTGCTGCCCCAAAGTGGACAAATGAAACATGCAAGGCTGGTGTCATCTTAGAACCTTGGTAACGCCCTAGAATTCTTGTGTGTGTGTATGGTGTGATGCACGGATGCATTAAAGCAAGAGCTAGAAAGACAAGGTGGAGTCCATGATTTTGGTGGCATGGGCTGGGGGCAGTGGGGACAAACAGGTCTGTTTCTCCTGTTTGTATGGCTCCTAGCCTGTTTGGTACGTGCGGTGCTTCTGTTACAAATTGAGACTGGCAGAGGAAATGAAACGGGTAGGGGTGCAAAGGTCAGGTCCCAGAGCCCGTGCCAGGCAGTGGACTGTGGAGACAGCTCCTTGAGTCCTGGGTCCCCCACTCTGGCTCTGTGGCCAGAGCAGGAAAGGGCTCTGGCTCTGGAAGATCCCCCCAGAAGCAGTCCCAGGTGAGAGGCAGGAGCTGGGTCTGTCAGTCACAGGCCAAAGGCTGCCCTGCGTGGTTCCAGGAGACTAGAAGGGGCGTCAGGAGAGGATGGCCCCCAACATCAGCCCCCCACAGAAGGGCACCCAGCGTTCCACAAAGGGAGCTGGGTGAGGTGCTGCCGTGGCAGAGGGAGAGAAATGCCTCTAACCAGAGCTGGCCAGCGGGGCGGGGCCTGCGCGGGGCGGGGCCTGCGCGGGGCGGGGCCTGCGCGGGGCGGGGCCTGCGCGGGGCGGGGCCTGCGTCGTTAGCGGACGTGCTACAGGACAGGAAAGCGGCCTCACGCTCCCTTGGTGGGAAGGGGAGGGAGGCTTTTCCCTAAGTGGGCAGGGAGGGGCGTGACCTGCAGGCCGCCCCAGGGAGGAAGGGGCTGACGAGAGAAGTGGACGTATGAGCCCCGGGCAGGGGTAAAAAGAGCCCCTGTGGATTGAGCGGCCTGCGGTCGGCTTGGGCACGGGCGGGGCGGGGCGGGGCCGGGCCGTCGCGCTGGTTTGACCCGAGCCGGGCTTGGCCGCGCAGGTGTCCTTCTGAGTCCTGGTGTCCTCTTTTTGTACTGTGCCGGTACTCAGGCTTGAACTTGGGGCCTAGTCATTGTCCCTTCGTCCCTCCTCCCCCAAGCTGGTGCTCTACCACTTGAGCCACAACTCCACTGCTGGCTTTTTTGTAGAAATGACTCTAGCTGGGCGCTGGAGGCCCACCTGATAATCCTAGCTACTCAAGGGGCTGAGATCTCAGCATCCTGAGAAGCCAGCCCCAGGGGCTGCTGGGAAGGTGGCTCAGTGGTAGAGCGCTTGCCTTGCATGCATGAGGCCCTGGGTTCGATTCCTCAGCACCACATAAACAGAAAAAAGAAAAAGCCGGAAGTGCCGCTGTGGCTCAAGTGGTAGAGCGCTCGCCTTGAGCTGAAGAGCTGAGGGACAGTGCCCAGGCCCAGAGTTCAGGCCCCACGACCGGACCCCAAAAAAAAGAAGCCAGCCCCAGCAGGAAAGTCTGAAACTTTTATCTCCGATAAACTACTCAGAAAAGCTGGAAGTGGTGCTGTGACTCAAGTGGTAGAGTGCTAGCCTTGAGCAAAAACAGCTCAAGACAGCTCCCAGGCCCTGAGTTAAAACCCCAGAACCAGCAAAAAAGAAAAAAATATCTCACAGATTTTCCTGTGCTGGCTGGCTGGCTTCAAGTCATGATCCTCAGACCTCAGCCTCGTGAGTAGCTTCATGAGCCATGGTGCCCAGCCAATATTCTCATTTCTAAAACAGGAAAACTAAACCATAGGCCTGCGGTGGTGTGGATTGAGTGGCAGGATGCCGGCTGAGAGCTTTGCTGGTGCCTAGTATGGGTCATTCACTTGACAGTAGTTTATGAAGCAGGGCTATTCTACTTACTCAAATTCAGCAGGGAAATGGGACCAAATGGCCTGTGTTCATATGCATCTATGCAAGAGGGGGGAAGAAAAGCAGTCGTTAAGTATATTGGAGGAAAATAGGATACAGAGCAAGAAGTGAGTAGAATGTTACATTTGGAAGGGCTCCTCAGGATATTCAAGGCAAAGGTAAAGGCATGAAGGAGACAGTTCTAGGCAAGAGGAACAGTACAAGGCCCTGGGGCAGAGCTATTAAAGGTGTGTTGGAGAAACCGCTTGGGGGGGGGGTGGGCTTGGAGTGAGTGTGTGAGAGGAGAAAGGTGAGGTTAGTGAAGAAAGCATGTGAGGAGCGTTACAAAAACCTGCCCCTCCCACAGGGCCTTGGACTTCCTAGGACCCTCAGGCGGCCACGAAGTTTTGGGGTGGGGTCAAGGCTGGGCAGATCTGGTTGTGTGTTCATGAGCTCACTGGTCACCATTGGGGAGTGACCTGTTGGCTCATGCCTGGACAGAAATGTCCATGAGAAGGAAAGATAGGAGGGAGAGAGGGAAGGAGGGAGGGAGGGAGGGAGGGAGGGAGGGAGGAAGGAAGGAAGGAAGGAAGGAAGGAAGGAAGGAAGGAAGGAAGGAAGGAAGGAAGGAAGGGGCCTGAAATCTTAGGATCTCTATTTTTAATTGTGAAAATATCATACAGAGGGGTTATAATTACATGGGCAAGGTAATGAGTTCATTTCTTTTTTTGGGGGGGGGTCCGTTTGTGGGGCCTGAACTCTGGCCTGGGCGCTGTCCCTCAGCTCTTCAGCTCAAGGCTAGCGCTCTACCACTTGAGCCACAGCGCCACTTCCGGCTTTTTCTTTTTTCTGCTTATGTGGTGCTGAGGAATCGAACCCAGGGCCTCATGCATGCAAGGCAAGCACTCTACCACTGAGCCACCTTCCCAGCCCCATGAGTTCATTTCTTATCAAGCATTGTTAACTCCTCCTTTGTTTCCCCTTCCTATCCCTTTCCATCCCCCCCACCACCACCGCATCCCCAGGATCTCAGTTTAAAGACAGCACAAGTAGAAAACATATGAGACTTCAGCTCAGCAGCAAAAGGCTGGTCTGAAGGCATGGCTCAAGTGGTAGAGCTACTGCTTAGCAAGTGTGATGTCCTAAGTTCAAACCCCAGTACATACAAAAAAGAAAGTGAGGAAGGGATGAGAAAGGGAAGGGAACTACCGGGGAAAGAGCAAAATACGTGCAGCGGGGAGAGGAGACTAAGGGGCAGGAGTGCTGTGGGGCAGACCCAGGGCAGCCGGGGACCAGAGAAATGTGAGCTGGTTACTCTGGCCTCTCCCTACAGAGCCTGGCTTGTCCTGTCCCAGTGGGGATGGAGCCCAGGGCTAGCGCTGTGTCTCTGAGCCAACCCCCAGCCCAGCCCACCTGGTTACAAAGGCAGACCCAACCCTGGCTTGAACCAAGAATGCGGCTGCCTCCACCCGTGGAGCGGAGACCTGTCCCCAGCCACAAGGAGAACGTGCCCCCACGGCAGGCGGCCACTCCAGAGCCAGGCAAGAGGCCCAGGGAGGCCTGGGCGATGGTTGCAGAGATGGGGTCCTCGCCACCTGCCTGCCTGCCAGGGTCGCAGGCACATGTCCCTGGAGACCAGGAGTGGGACTGGATGTTCCCCGCGGCTGAGCCCACCTCCCCCGCCAGGCCAGGCTGGGGGAAGGGGTGGGGACTCCCTGCTCAAGGCACACACACCCCAGAGTCTAAGAAGATATGAAGTGGGTCCAGCCCAGGATAGAAGCAACCCAAGAACACAACTTCAAACTGATTCTCGTCCTGTGAGCACATTCCTTCCCTCTCTGAGCTTTAGTTGCTACCCATAAAGATAGTCTCTTCTTTCCTCCTCCTCCTCCTCCTCCTCCTCCTCCTCCTCCTCCTCCTCCTGCTGCTGCTTCTTGTCCCTCAAGTTCTGGAGCTTGAATTCAGCCTGGGCCCTGTCCCTGAGCTGCTTTTGCTCAAGCCTAGCACTCTACCACTTGAGCCACAGCGCCACTTCCAGCCTTTTCTGTGTGTGTGGTGCTGAGGAATCGCACCCAGGGCTTCATGCATGCTAGGCAGGCGCTCTACCACTAAGCCACATTCCCAGCCCAAAGATAGTCACTTCTATGGCCAATGGTACCAGCCAGCCCTGTGTCTAGAGCCCCTCAGACACCTCGCCAGTACCCACCAGCCCTCTGGGGAGCCTTGGGGCCTGGGGTCGGGACCCACTTCCACACCAGCCTGTCCCAAGAGAGTCCCCCCCCCCTTACCCCACGCCGGCCTGGATCAGCCCCTCACCGCCCCCATCCCCACCCCCGTCATCTCCCCCTTCAGGGCTGAACTGAAGTCCTGGCTCCCACTGGAGCCTGGCTGTCCCACCTGAGAGCTAACCGCCGGGACTCTC